ATATTTTTAATTTTTATATTTTTATTGAATTTATTCAAGTTTTTTTTTTAATGGTTTTTACTTATTTTTGAGAGAGAGAGAGACATAGCGCAAGTGGGAGGGGCAGAGAGAGAGACACACACACACAGAATCCGAAGCAGGCTCCAGGCTCTGAGCTGTCAGCATGGAGCCCGCTACGGGGCTTACGTTCACGTACCATGAGATCATGACCTGAGTCGATGTCAGACGCTCAACTGACCGAGCCACCCAGGCAGCCCCCTCAAGAGTTTTCTCATTTGTAAAGTGTTAAGGTTGAGCTGAGAATTTCAGATGTTTCTTTCAACTAACAGTAACTAATTTTCCATGTTGCCTTCAATTGATTCTTTCATTCACTGTTTTTTCCTATGTTTTAAATTGCCCTTAATAAAAGATAGGTTCTCTACATCTTTAAAACCCGGCATCATATTAATTAATTCTATCCATTCATTCAACCAACATGTGCCTAAAACCTCCTGCATATACCGCTGTAGGAAGAACAATTCAGCATGGCAGATCTGAGGCAAGAAGAGGCACTAAATGTTATACCAAGGACATCTCCACTCAGTAGGCCTGGAATGGGTGAGGTGGTAAATTAAAAATCAAGGGTGGTTTGTATTTGATTCTAAAACACAAGATGATGATGTCATTTAACCTCCTGAAATGGCTATAACCTTGGCCTTTATTTAGTAAACACACTGTAAGGAAGAAAACCGCTCCCCAGACTCTAGCAGGCAGATCCCCCAGGTCAGCCCTGGGCAGGAAGCAAGCCAGGCAGAGAGGCTCCAGGCAAGGAGTGATCAGGAGAAAGGGGAAACAGATGGAGACAGGAGTGGAATTCAGAAAAGATCCTGGAGAAGCCCCCAGCCTGCTGACCTCAGAGCGCTCTGCTGGGTCCAGGGCACACGTCCAGCATACCTAACAACACCGATAAAGTAAGGTCTGGAACCCTGGGATATTTCAGCTGAGATGCATCACATGGCAAACAGCTGTCTCCATTGAAATGGTGACCACTGGCCCAGCAACATCAGAGGACAAGCTAGTGGAACTGAGAAGCAGGCCCCTGGGACACTAGGGAGGGGAGAAGATGCCTGGAGAGAGAGGCTAGAATCTAAGAAAGCCTGTAAGGAGACGTAGGAAAATTCAGAAGTCAGGCCTGCCATTCTCCAAAGGCATTAAACAACAAGGATGCCTGAACAAAGCCAAGGACCATTTCCTAACCTTCTGCCTCCCAGAAGCCTTTCGTTCAGCATTCTGGATGTCTCCTATCCATGGCTGTGAAGCCAAAGCAACAGTGGCAGGGGGGTCCTTTTATCAGCTCTCTAGCCAGGTAACCTTGAGAGCAGCTGTATGGATCCCCGAGGCTACCTGAAATGCAAGGTTTACTTTTCAGGAGCTGACATCCTAAGAATGTGATGTCCACCAGCCACATAGGGCTATTTACACTTTAAAAAGTAAATAGTAAAATACGATACTGTGTCTCCCAGTCACTACATTTCAGGCTCTCAATAGCCCCATGTGGTTAGTGGCTACTGTAATGAGATAAAAATATTTCAGCTGCCACAGAAAGATGTCATGGGGATGGTGGCCCTCGGGCCTTGCAGCCTCTGAAGCATCACTGGCCGCCCTCTTCTCATGGAAAGCTGGGGTCTCAGTTGTCCATCACAACCCATGTGTGTGTCATGACAACTAGGAAACTGGCTGGACAAACAGGATGCTTAAGATAACAAGACAGTCTTGCCCAAATCAGTGGTCTTTGCTTGTGTGTCAACAAGTCCAACTTCTGTGGTGATACAGGAATGATACAGGAATCTGGTCTAGCACTTCCTCTCTCTTTTTTTCCTAATCCTTGCTAAATCAAAGGACTTTGCATGCTCTTTAAGCAATTGTTCTACACTTGTGTTTAAGGTTTAAGTGCTTCTCTTTATAACATGCCTCGCTACCTTCTGTCTTTTTAATTTCTAAACATCCAGTGTTCACACGGGTGGGCTTTAAAGGACAGCCAGGGCCCGGGTATTTGGGGAACTTGTGAGAGAGGGGAGTGATGCTTCCGAGGTTGGGGGCCCCCGAGCGCCACCATCCCCTGCCCATCCCTCAAAGAAGACACTGTTCAGACTCTGTGCTTCCCAGCCTTTCCCACAAACTCCCACTTGGTCCTAAAGTGACCTTAAACTCAGAAGAGACAGAGGAGCCTCAGCTCAGTGAGGTGGCGAGATGTTGGAGTCAGTCTGCCTGCCACCGCCCGGGGCTGGTGGCTGGGTGACTTCCGCTGGCAAGGGCCAATCATCTGTTCTGTCCTCTACTCCCTCCTGGGGAAAGGACAGGAACGCATTCTTTGTTCCCCCCCCCCCCCCCCCCCCCCCCCCCCCCCCCCCCCCCCCCCCCCGACTTCCTCTGCGCTTTCTCTTTGTGCTTCTCCAGGAATTCCCTGGCTCAGGCTTCCGGGAGAAGGGAGAGGCGCCGGGGCGGGTCAGTGGTGTGCCCCTCTCTGCTCTGACAGGCCGGAAATGCAAGGACGGCACTGCTCACCTTTCAATTATGTCCAGGCGCAGCTGGTGGCCATACGGCAAGGTAATGAGTTCCAGCCCTGAGCTCACACCCATGTTCTTCCTCATCTCTTCGGAGACTTCAAGTATCCTAGCGACCTGTCAAGAACACAAGTTGAAACACACCACGGACATGAAGGCAGTGCGTGAAAAGAAACACACTGAACTGGGACAGGATGGATGCACTTGTTACATTTCTTTTTGAGCAGCAGCATCCCCAAATACAGTTTCCGGATGCGATTTGGAGGATTCTCATACACGACCGGAGTCTAAAACCTGGAGGAAAGCACCTAAATTGGTCTGCAGAATCCGCACATTTTGGTGTTTCTGCCTGGCCGGAGAATGGTGTAGTTCTGCCAGCTTTTGTCTAACACAGGCTGGATCCCGCGGCCAACAGCAGCGCCGCCTGCGCACAGAGCGATGAGCCCCCGCAGTGACAAGGCTGACTGTGGCCAAGCACCCCGCTCCTCTGCTGCGGGCTCCACCGTTCATGTTCTCACTTAACAGCAGGGCTGGCTGCTATTACCCTTAATTACGCCTCTCCTGGGCTCAGTAAATGCACCATACGTCTGGAAAGTATTAGAGGCATGTACAGCGATTTGAAACCTGAGGTCTGAAGCACACCCACTTCTCCCCAAGAGGCCTTCTTTGTGTGTCCCAGACAGCTCTCCCCATCTTAGTTCCAGCGTGCAATCACGGTTTACTGGCACCAGGTATTAGTCGGCCATTTATAGTTATTACATGCTGCCTCGAAATGTTACATACAGTCACTGCATGTCTAACACCAGGCTAATGACGCTTCCCTAATAGTGTGACTACCAGATACAGTGGGTCTAACCAACCCTGGACACACAGCGGCCACGTGGCAGCCACGGAACGATTCTTCTCCTCCATCTGCTGCAGTTGTCCTGGACCCTAACAATCCGAGGCAACCGAACAGGCCACATATCTTCATAATGGTCCACAAAAAACATCTGAAGTTTGGCTGATATTATTAACCCCAACCCTTCACTTCTGTGGTTGAGCAAAGCAACCACTGTCAGCCCTGAGGAAATGAACCTGTGGGAATTAGCTATCCAGTGGCGGACTGGGAAACAGGATGCAGAATTCCTACTATGCTCTCTGGGCCTCAGTTTCCCCTTCTCTAACACAGCTGCTAAGTTCACGTTTCTAAAGGACTTTGCAAAGGATCAAATGACTTTAAAACCTCAAAAAGCTATTTGAAAATACAAGCTGTGAGTCACCGGCATGTAGAAGAGGGAATTTTGGCTTGATCTCTGGAAAGGGATTTACACCTTGAGGATGGCAAGGCAGCCCAGATGCATACCGCAGCCACTTAAGGTCACGTACACTTTGCTTGCTTGTTTAGACAGCTGCCCCATCAGAGGCTCCAAACCCAGCTCTGGGTGGTGGGCATCCTCTAATTCACGCACACACTATGTAATGAGATTGAAAGGTTTATCATTGATTCACTTTTGTTCTGGAAGCACTAGTAACCAGAGTGATCCCTGCTCTGAGAGAGAAGCCTCCAAGTCTGTTTTCTTTCAGTGTAAACATGCAATCCCCTGGTCCCTTTCCTGGGGGTTTGCCAGGATATGCCAAGGCCCGCTTGCCCCAAGGCTGACCTATGGGACAAGGGGATCCTGAGCTCACATGGCAGGGCTGGGATTAGGTCCCCTGGGGAAATGCCCAGAGCCGTGCAGCTCATGGATACAGAGGAGGGATGGACACTGCTAGAACATTTACTATGCAATGGACCCGGCAAGCAACATTGGTGCTCCACCATGAGGCATTCCCACCTCCCTCTGCTCTTCTGACCTTAGCTGTCCTATCTGCAGGGCCTCCAAATTCTGCCTGCTCCTCATCCTTTCTTTGGGAGCTGCTGCAGTGACCCAGGGGGAATGCTGGCCCTTCCCAGCTGTCAAGGGACCTTCTAAACTCTAATGAGATCGCCTGGCTCTGCCCACCATTTCTGCTGCCTTCAGCACAGGACTCTGATCTGGACTATGCACTTAAGGGCCTGTCTCCCTCACTGAGCTGCAAAGTGCTTTAAAGGAGACAATAACCTGGCACTGGCTCAGAAGTAGAGACTTAAAAACATCCAAGTAAAGACCTGCTAGTCCCTCCCCCCCCTCCCCCACCCATCACCACCTTCACTGCCCACACAGTGAATCCTCTGTAAACTGAACCCTTGACACCCGAATCTCCATACACGTATGTCATTTCCCACCCAGAAGATGCTTTTCACATTCCTCAGCTGGCGAATTCCTATTCAGCCTTGAAAACTCATCTCAGACATCCTCTCCCCCGTTCCCCTTTCCCCCATGTTCAAGACCCTGCCTCAGAGGCCCCACAGCTCCCGTACCTTCCCCTGCAGAGCATTTCCCACCTGGGCTGTGGTCTGAATTCCTGCATCACTGTCCTTCCCCACATCCCCCGCCGTGGCCGGCCTGGCCCACAGTACATGCTCCATCAAGGCTGAATACCTAACGCTAATAGCCGCATTCTGGGCCAGGCATGGCGTGTGGAGGCTTTACAAAAGTTATTTCACTTAGTCCTCACAACCACCTGGGTAGGTGGTATTGTTCTCTTTCTCTTATAGGTGGAGAAAGTGGAGAACCCGAATTAGACTCAGGCAGTTCATCCCCAGAGGCCAACTGTAACACACTGGGCCCACTTCTAGATATTGCAACAAGTGGGTGAAGACAGGCTGCACTCTGGGTGCAGGCCAGGGTGGTGCCCATTCGCAGTGTGAGAGGGGCTCAGTGGACACCCAACCCACAGCCCCAGGAAGAGGCTGGACAGGCAGCCTTGAGGCACTTAGGACCATCCATTGTCATGATGGTCTTTCTGGGGATCAGCCTGGGGTAGGAACCAGCACGCGGGCCCCAAATGCTGCCCAGTGCCTGTTCTCAGCTTCCGAGTGGCCATTACATTTGGAGTGGGTAACAACAGCTCTCATTCTATTTCCCTCAGAGATGCTGACTGTGCCTGCTTTGTTGGCAAAGCCCTGAAAGTCAGTGGTTCCAGTAGGAGAATAAGGAAATGGCAGTGGACTCAGGAGAGAGGGAGGAACACTATCAACAGTGCTGTCCTTGGAAAATGAAGGTGGGCACAGTGAAGCGGACTCCTGCTCTGGGTCTCCGTCTCACTGCGCCAGGGGGCTCCATCCAGCCCTTGTTCTAAGGGTGCCTGAAGGTAGATGGGGAGGGGGGTGCCCAACCAGGAGGACAAAATGCAAAGAAAGAAACCAAACCGGAAAAAGGGCAGGCTTCATGTTCCTTCAGCTGAGAACACACTTAAGCTCTAGATTCATGGCTGCCGAGGTGGTAGGAATGTTCTAGACCCTCCTGCCAAAGGGCGGTCAGGCATCTCACCTCCTCCTACACTTTCCTAGATCCTCCAAGCCCTGTCTGAGGTCACAGGCAAGGATTCATTCCCTACTGGGAATTAGGCTGATCCATTTCTCCACAAGGAGCTTCCTCAGTGGAGAACTCAGGCAGGTGCGTACCAGACTCCTGGCCTGCTGGAGTACCAGGGCGGGGTCAAGTAACTAGAACAAGAATCTTAAATCCTCTTACTGCCCAAACGGGTTTAGCTCACTTTAAAGTGAAGTAAGGATTTAATATGACCTGTGAGCACTGCCCAAGGACACCCAGCCAACCACGTGAACAAACCCTTGTTCTTCAGCACTTTGCCTTTCCTGGATCTTTCCCCCAGGGCCCCTCATGCTCTCACAATACACACACACACACACACACACACACACACACACACACACACACACACACACACACACACACACACACACACACACACACACACACACACACACACACACACACACGGAGAGACCACCTCTCAGGCCTGGCTCAGTCCTACTTTCAGGAAGGGGTTTGTTTAGCCCAGAACAGCTAGTACCTCCTTAAATTCCTGTAGGCTGTTTTGGGAGGCGTCCTACCCGCCTTGTGAGCTCCATCAAGTGGGGACTCCCTAGGGGAGTGCTCAGAGTCCAGTTTCCTGTCATGATTCATGACCCAGGAAATGTATTTAGGAAAACTCAGCTCCTAAACAGGCCCTGAACTCTGAAGCTAATTGCCTTCACTGAGCTACACACAAATAAGGGCTTTAAATCTCACCACAGCCTCACCTGTTGTTCCAAAGCATGGATTTGTCTCTATACTGGGAGATAGGCTGAGCCCACCCTGGCCTGAGACAACTGTTTTCTAGAAAGATCCCTCTGAAGGATAACTTTGCTGTGGGGTCACCTATGAACAAAAGTTGCCCGTATCTAAAAGATATGCCTCCTATCAAAACTGATTATGTAAACACATATTCAGTTATCTGAAAATACAGTCATGATATATGTTCAATCAAAGACTCAGAGTTTAAAATAGTATATTTAGAAAAAAACTAAAATCCAATCAAATCATATGTTTAGGCCTATGCCATTTCTGTGGAAAACAAACACACATGCCTGAAATTATGTACACATATCTGTTTGCAGAGTAAATGTTAACAGTGGTGATCATCAGGAAACTAGACTTTGTGTGATTTTAGTTTTTTTCTTTTAATCTGTATAACTTTTCTAAATTGAGCAAATATTACTTGTGAAAAAGTCAAGGTAAGATTAAAAATGTTTATTCTAAAGCCCACTTTAGTAACAACAGAAGAAATATATACATTGTGTGTGTGTGTATATGTATACGTGTATACATATATAATGTATAATAAAATAAAAATAACCTAGGCTCTGCTACTCCAGAAAGTACATTTTCATCTGTAGTCCACTCTCCTTGAACTTGACTTTCCCAGTTCTGATGGAGCTGAGGCCAGGGGAGAATTCCAAAATCAACACCAGCTGGGAGAACTCTATAGCCAGTGGGGGAGGCATGGCCCCGTGGCAGGAGCCTGCCCTCCCTCTGCCCAAGGTGATTTTTACAAGCTTCCTGCCTGGGCAAAGGTCATCCCAAGCTTGTGCTTCCCACCCTTTAAATAAATCCCCACCCAGGTTATCTTCAGACTTTTTCTATGAGCAAGCACTTACAGGGTAAGGTAGAGTGAGGCCCAACCTGATGTCCCCCTTCCAAATTTTCAGAAGCCAGAACAACACCCACCCTGTCTGGGCACTTACCACGCAGTCCATGCTCAGCATGTGCTGGGCGATGACCTTGGGGTCATTGTTGGTGAACAGTTCTTTTGCCCGCTTCAGCATTGCTGTTTCCAGGGGCTTGTTCTCGGGAGGAAGGAGCTTTGACTCGAAGTCATTGGGTCTGAATGAGGAGGCAGTCTCCAGTCGGGGCGGCACAAACTCTACCTCGTCCTCCTGCCCCTGGTCCTTCTGGGTGGCCGGTGCCTCCCAAGGCCCAGCCCCAACATCATCATCAAGGGTCAAGTAGTTGATGCCAGAGTTCCGGGGCCCTGGCGCCCCATTCTGCTTGGCCGTTAGCAGCTCCACGTAGCTGTCCTGGGCACAGAGGGGAGGCCTTGTTCCCCTGTCACAGCCTGCAGCAAAGCCTGGGTTCAGTTCACAGTAGTTGGCCTCAGAGTTGAGCCAGGTAGATGGAGACGGGGGAGCCTTGAGGACAGGTGCCTTGCAGGGCTTGGGGGGTGGTTTGGGGCACAGCTGGCTGTCTGAGCCCCTTAGAGCCTCCCCTGCCCTCGCGTCCGAGGAAACCCTCCGAACCACCGCCGGGCTCAGGGTGGGCTCACTGCCCGTCCTGAAAACGGGTGAGTTTGGGCAGGGGCTTGTGTCCACGCCTGGGGATTGAGGGGGCAACTTACAGCCTGTGAAAGGTAAGAGAGGGTCAGGAAAAGCTCAGCTGTACAGAGAACACAAAACAAAACTAGAGTGACAACTCCCCAGCCCTCAATGCATGCCTTCGGGTTTCGATTTTTTACTTCCCAAAGACAACTCAGTATGACTGTCCCACTCCCAATCTAGGGCAATCTAAAGCATCTCAAGGGCCAGCGGGCCACACCCTGCTTCTGAGGGGATTCTACGAACAGCTGGGCTGCAGTGTCATTTTATGGTCAGAGAAGGTTAGTCCAGTCAGAACAGGACAATACGTGGAGCTGGAGGGCAGTGAGTAATCTAGTCTCGCCCTCAGAAACAGAAGTCTTTAGTCACATAGCATAAGGGCCTGAGTCACTCTCACAGCCAGTGGGATCTAGCCAGCTTCAAGAGAGAGCTGAAGACACCCCAGGAAGGTAGGACAAGATGCTGAGATAACCCACATAGAAGTGGTTCACCAAGGGGCATTAGGAAAATCACCTTGTGGTCCCAAGGAAGGTCAGTTACGAAAATAGTGAACAATAATCCATGGTCTACTAATATAGTTGCTTATGAGGTTTCCCCATATCCCACACCTCCTCTCTCCTCTGGCTGAGAAAGAACGGAGAGGAGAAGGGGTCTTGTCTGGATGGCTGCTCCTCCAGGAACCCCAGCACTGACCCAGCCCCAGAGATCCTGTCTCTGCCCAGGGAGGGCACTGAGACAGCAAGCTCATTTGTCATGAAGGCTATCAGTTAGCGGATGGGCGTGGGTCAGAAAACTTGGGTTCAAATGCTGGCTTAACCACTTGCCAGACGGATAACTCTGGATAAGTTACTTAACCTCTATGCCTCAGTTTCCTCGGCAACTAAAAGAGGATAAGCATTTCTGCCTTGAAGGGTTGTTATGAGGCTTAAGAGCTGGCACACACTGTCCAGCTCGCTGATCCGCATCTGGATATAGTTCTACAAATCCCTTACCCTCCAGCCTAGAGGCACAGAGCCTTGTGTTGTCCCCAAATCAGGTGACTGGATGGAGCAGGGAAACAGCCTGAAGGAGATCAGGCTAACACTGACACCCTCCTCCCAGAAAATTCCCAAAGACCTACCAATTGGCAGGTAACTTTCCGACTGGTGGGCTTTGAGGGATAAGGCTCTTCTGTCCTGCATGTGATCCAGGCAGGCTGGCTGGCTACCGCTCTTCTCCTTATTTCTGAAGCAAAAGATCAGTGGAACAGAGACGTGTCATTAAATCATAAAACCTTCAGGCAGCGTCATGGAAAGTTTTTAAGAGAAATGACTGCTTAGAAGGCGAATAGCACAGCACATCCTAACAGTAAAGGAATGTCTGTTGGAGGGCAAATGACTGCCGGGGGCGGTTAACACAGGGTTGGGCCCTGGGCTCCATCCCCACGTCCTCAGGGCCAATCCGGTTAGTTCCCGGGCTGCTGCCTCGGAGCCCTTCCATCTGGTGGAGCAGAGCAGGGTCAAGATTTCACGATAGTCTCAGGAAAAACTGATGAACTGGAATGTGTACTTTTAACAGAGCTTAAAATGACTTACAGACCCAGGAGGAGTGACTTGTTCAACTAAAATGCATTTTCCACCATCCCTCATGGCGTCGGGAAGGGAGCCGTGGGGCTGTCTGCATGTCAGCACAGATCCCCATGTCCCCCAGATAACCCACCGGATCACCCTGGGGTACTGTCACTCTCATCCTGGAAGGACCAGGGCCCCGCAGCCGACCTTATGCTGACCTGGGGAAGGGCCGAGCCTGCGCACCAAGCTGGCGCTGGGAGGCCCCAAGCACAGCCACGCGGGGAAAAGGCGACTGTCACTTTCCACACAATCTGCTAGCACTCCTCTGCTCCCTTGCCTAGTCAGACTGGGAATTTCTCTAGCACCAAAAAAGCAGAATCTCTCCTTTGCTAGGAGAGACTGCACTGCACCAGCCAAGTTGTAATGAACTTTCATCGGCCCTCCCACAAGCTTATGTTACAGAAATCGCAATGTTCTTTCCTACCTTTGCAAGCACCAAAGGAAAAAGCAAACAAACCAAAAACCCCCCAAACTCCCAGCAACAGAGAAATTCCAGCAACCCCTCAGAGATAAGGCTGGTCAGAGGGCAAATTCCAAAAGGCAGTGGCTTCAGCCGGGCGGTATTTATGCAGTGATCTTCAGAGCAGCCAGACTCCACTGGCCCAGAACGCCCACCTGGGACGCTCCCAACCTGGCTGAGCTCGCACACTGCCAGCCAGCCAACCAGCAGGCCTGACGTCAGGGAAGGTGCGGTGCGGGCGGGCAAGGGAGGGTAAGGGAGGGCCCCGTGCAGGGTGCTTCCTTATTGAACCCACCCCACCCCCACCCGTGGACGCTTCTGCTGCAAGAAGTGACAGGGCTTAGGGAGCTGTGCTTTCAGTGGGCAATTGGAAAAGTGGCTCTGGGGGCGCCTGAAAAGTGGCTTGGTTAGGCGTCCTATTCTTGATATCCACTCAGGTCTTGATCTCCGCCCAGTGTTGGACTCTGTGCGGAGTGTGGAGCCTGTTTGGGATTCTCTCTCTTCCTCTCTCTCTCTCTCCCCCAAATAAACAAACTTAAAAACAAGGAAGAAAGACAGAAAAGTGGCTCTGTTAGACCTGCCTCATTGACTAAGAGACCTTCTCAGTCTTTCTTTCATTTATCTTAAGAAATAAATTTGTATTTTGGGGCGCCTGGGTGGCTCAGTTGGTTGGGCCTCTCAGTCTTGATTTTGGCTCAGGTCACAATCCCAGGGTTGTGGGATCCAGCCCCAGGCTCCGAGCTTGAGTGTGGAGCCTGCTTGAGATTCTCTCGCGCGCTCTGCCCCTCTCCCATGCTTGCTCTCTCTCAGGAAAAAAAAAAAGTAATAATAATAATAAATTTAAACTAATTAATTAATTAATATTTTAAATCCAGTCACTGAGGGTAGACCAGGAGGCAGGCCTTCTTCCCCAGCACCACACTGGGCAGGGGTTCCGTGCCTTGCAAAAACTCCCTGGCTCTGTTCATGACATTAACTCTCTGTTTGTTAGTTGAGCAGCCAACCCTCACAATCACAAAAGAAACGGAGCAAAAGGTGCCCCTTTAATATTTTAAGGGATCTCAAGTCCATTCTTATTACTAAGAAGAATTTCTCTATGTCACTTCTTGCCTCCCTCCCTGCAAACAGAGTCCCACATTCCACTGCCCTCCAGAAAATCATATTTATTATGATTACTAACACCTACGTGGCACTTATTTTTCTTTAATGTTTATTTTTGAGAGAGTGTGAGCAGGGACGGGCCAGGGGGCAGGGGGACAGAGGATCTGAAGCAGGCTCCACGCTGGCAGCATGGAGCCCGATGTGGGGCTCACAAACCGTGAGATCGTGACCTGAGCTGACCTGACACTCAACCAACTGAGCCAACCAGGCGCCCCCTAGGTAGCACTCTCTATGTATCGGCATCATTCTAAGCACTTTGCAAGTCTTAAATCATTTAACCCTCACAAGCCCCGTCATTCCAGGTAGGGAAAGCGAGGCCCAGAGAAGTTACATAGCTTGATCAGTGGCAGACTGGCATTTGTGCCCAGGCAGGCAGGGTCCACAGCCAGACACTGACTAACATCTACCAGAGCTTCCTAGGAGCACACGACCTGGTATGTATTACTCAGTTCTGAGCTTGGCTTCTGAATTTCTGCAGTCTGCAAATTACAGTTTATGACATTTCCTCCTGTCCAGAAAGAAAACCAATGAGTGGAATAAAACATGTGGGTTTAAGTGAGTAAGTTTAGATGCCAGGCAGCTGGAGAAGGGAAGCTGGGTAACCAAGCGGCTGGGGCTAGACTTCACCCTACCAGGCCTGCCTTTTCCCTGCTCTCCTTCTCTGGAGCAGTCAGACAGCAGGCACGAGCACCCAGCTCCATGAGAAACAGGTCCTCTGTCAGCACGTGCCACTGGCATTGGAGGGCAGGGGGCCCCAGCTGGGCATCCAGTTCTCTGGACTCTTCTCTCCCCCTGTGTCCAGGTTCGGGCCACAGCCCCCAGACTCTCGATGTCTCCAGCTCTCTCAGGTCTTTTCTCATCCACCTTCAGACTGAGCTCTCCCCCCAAACCCCCAAAATGTTGTTGGACACTTGGCACTCAACAAGCCTATGGTCGTATCTCAGATGCGGCAACTGGTTTTTCCTCCGCGGTCCACCCCTTCTCTGGGCCCTCCTGTGGTCTCCAACTTGCCATTCTCCAACACACATACCAGAGTCCCAGGAAGCCGAGGTCCCAGGCTCTCCCTCTACTTCCCCTGCACAACCTGACCCTCCATGGCTCACTAACTGGTCTTCCTGCTCCAAACTCTCTCCTGCCTCTCTGGCACATCGCTGCCCTGTTCTATTCTCGGGACACCCTGTTCACCATGTCGAGTCTTTGAGGCTCCCTCAAACCTCTTAGCCTTGTTCTAAGGCCTCTGCGATTGGGCTGTGGTCACCTCCCTGAGCCGGTCCCTACCAGCCCCTTACATGGCCCTTTGCTTGAGCCCCACCGATCTGCCTACCCCAAGGAACTCTTGTCCTTTCCTATCACTACACGCCTGCTCCTGCTGAGCCCCCACCTGGACCGCCCTCCCCTTCGCAGCGTCTATCCGAACTTTCCCTAGCCTTCAGACCAGCCAGAATCCTCCTTCCTTCCCAAATCTCTCCTGGCCAACCCTCCCCGTCTTCCTCAGCAACTGCCTCATTTAATTTCGGCTCCAAGTCAGTTGGGAACTAATCACGCACTGCCCCATGACAGCTTTTCCAATTACACTTGGCATTCTTAGTAACATCCTTTATTGTTCTTCCCTTCCCGCGTGAGCTCCTCATCTGGCTGACTAAGCCCAGGCGCATCCAGAGTGTCCCTCGCGGTCCCAGCACCACCCCCATGAGGCCGTCACCCACCTGAGGAGGTTTCCCCTGGTCGAGCTCTGCTCCCGGGCGTGGAGGCCGCCCATGGTGAGGCTCAGCCTCTTGCCCACGTCGGACCTGCCCTCGGCCAGGCTGCCCTCCCGGGCCCGGCCTGGGGAGGTGCCGTAGCGCTCCTCCAGGCACCGCAGGGGCACCGTCCTGTTGATGGGCTGGAAGATGATGGCTCCGCTCTGCTGGGAGATGGGCCGGCGGTTGCCCACGTAGCAGCGCACCAGGCCAGGGATGGAGTCGAAGCTCTCCGTCTCAAACTGATACTGCACGCGGCTGTAGGCCTCACTGAGCCGCAGGACCGTCCGGTGGATCTTGAAGTGCTGAGCGAGGTTCTTCCACTGACAGGTCAGGACAAAGTTTCCGGGGCTGGACAGAGAGTCACGAACCAGGAAGTCGCCATCTCGCTGCACGAGGTTTTCTGACACCTTTGGGACAAAATGGTGAGGGGTAGAAAAGGCAAGCGCACATTCATTCCTTCTAAGAGCTGCACCGCTCTCCACTTCTTTGGGCCAGCGGCGGACCACGGTATTGTGTCTCTTCTTGCTCAGTTGGCTCTTTATTTTTCCAACGTCAAATTCTTAGAAGACCCATTCATTCGCTTAAGAACTACGTGCTGCCCACCTACTGTGTGCCAGGTACTACTGTAGGCACAGGGCTTACAGCAGTGAGTGAAGCAGAGTAGTCTCCACTGTCACGGAGCTCCTGTATCTAGTGGAGAGCTGCTACTTTGGTGAAGATAAACAAGCAGCAGGTATGGTATGTCCGATGTTGTAAAGTAAAGGAAAAAGTCAATCGGGAAGGGAGATAAGAAGTGCCTGGGAAGGGATGAGGGCCGTTCGTTGCAACAGGGTGATCAGGAGGGTGTCATGAGAAGATGACATTTAGGCAGACCCGAAGCAAGTAAAGTGACAGAATAAAACAAAGCAGAAAATTCACGTCTAGGGAGTCTGACCCCTCCCCACCCCCAGCAAGGGGAGGAGGGAGTTTGGTCCACATCTAGGAGCCTGGTGGATGGGGAGGAGAGGTCCACACGTTGGTGGAGGCCAGGCGCTGTGGAATCAGAGACCTGAGTGTGGTTCTGGGCACAGCACTCGCTGGAGAGCCTGTAGCAAAGTCAGGTCAGTGTCTCACGTCACAAAGTTATAGGGAGAATTATATATTTGCATACACAATATATGCAAAGCACTAGTACAGTGCCGAGAACACAGTAGGTGCTCAAATATTATTAACTACGAGGATGCTGATCTCTACTGTGTTGCCAAAGGAAAATCTCTACTGTGTTGCAGATGTTCCTGTGGCCAGACTGCCTGGCTGTGCATTCTGGCTCTACTGAGTGACTTTGAACCAGGTACATAATCTCTTTGTGGCTCAGTTACATCACCTGTGGGACAGGGATAGTATCACCTACACAGTAGCTATGAAGATTTAAAGGAGTAGAGTGTCAGCTACAGCTACCTTATTGTCACAGTGTTCAGTTATACAACCTGAAATGATGTATGACTGAAAATTTACACTCACTGTAAGTGGTAAACAAATTTTGTGATCACAAAAAAGAGAAGGACGGTGGTGACAGTCATCAGTTTTATAAACTTTGACATTTTTTCCAGGATATCCCAACATTGGAACAGTTAGAATAGCACGCTACCATGGTTACTTTAAAATTCCATCTTGGCCTTAAAAATTCGTTTTCACACAGAAATTGCACTTCTTGGAATGGGGCCTGAGGAAATAATTACAGTGATAAACACAGTCATTATCTTACAGGGTGCTGGTGAGGGTGCCCACTAAATAGCAGAGCACCATACGATGGACACACATACAGTGTAGAATGGTTTTAAAACGATTTTATAACAGCAGAAAACTCCCAGGATATGTCAGTAAATGAAGACAGTGGGCTGCAAAAGTATATGCAGTATCATCTCACACTTGCAAAGCCTCGTAGGAGGCTTTATATCAAAATGTTCACAGTGGTTACCTCCAGGTTGGAGAATTATGGGTGAGAGCTTTTAATTTTCTTTGTTTTACTCCCTGCATTTTCTACAATCAATTTTAAACTAAAAACAAAAAGTTAGAATAAGGATTATTTCTTTGATAGTGCTGAGGTATCTGCTACATGAAAAAAAACTATCACCATGTGATGCCCTCCACACCCCCCCCCCCCCCCCCCGCCCCTTTTCTGTCATGTTGTCCTGGGTAAATGACTGGCTAGATCAGCTTCCAATAAAAACCCAAGAGAAATTCTACACCTTAATTCTGGACTTATATTTTTTCAATTTCTAAACTGTTTAGCAAAAACCCCACATTATTCACAGCTATCACCCAAATGATAGTCACACAGAGAACATCCTAGGCCAGGACGCTGTGGTCACTGGTATAATTCCTCTACCTGCCATCTCCAGGACAGGGGTCCAGGTAGGGGAGGGCTGGAGGGTAAATGGTTGCTGGCCCCACTAGGGTACTGGTGGCCCTGCTGCTCTGTGCCACTTGCCCTGATGATACTCTCTCTTCACCTGAAATTAAAGTACTGTCTTAAAAGAGAAGCAGGTTCAAAGGGTATGAGGCAGCCGGCAGCCGGCCATGAGTTCAATTATCTGAACCACAGGCTGGCCCCTCACCTCTCGGGGTCATCACCCTGCCGCCACTGCCTCCTGCCCGCTCCGGGTCTGTGGACCACAGGAACACCTGCCTTTCCTCCATCCCCTTCCCGGGCAGGTGGAGATGTACTGTGGGTTCCTGACCTCAGTTCTTCCCGGCGATCTCCTGGGAGACAGGCCCAAGTTCGGTTTCTGTGGGCTAGGGTGTTCTATCTGTTTGGCTAAACTGGGGCCGACTCTGACATGGCGTTGGAGGGTAAGCCGGAAGGGTTCTCAGCGTGCTGGTGTTTGAGAACGGCGGGGCGCGCCCTGGCAGGAAGAGAGCGGGTACCTGGCGGGGGATGCGTCCATGGTACCAGGCGTGGCTGCGCAGGTCTTCGCCGCTCAGCAGCAGCTCCTCCTCCAGCTCCTTCTTCAGCCTCTCAGGGGTCCTGTCCATGACGTGCCTCTCCTTGGAGAACTGCAACACAGGGGCAGCGGTGACCTCCCACCCTGCCCAGGTCGGCCAGGCCAGCCGGCTGGAGAGGCCCTCCCGCCCGCACTTGGCCGCTTGGCTAACCAACCCAGGATATGCCAGAAGCCCTGTTCAGGTAGGGGAGCCTGGATAATGATTACAATTAGCTGTGACCTTTCACTTCTCCAGCTGCAAGAATGTAGCGAAATTTTCACCTACACACCGGGACTGTGATGGGAGAGGGGGCCAAGATGTTCCTTTTATCAGTCGGCTCAGGTAGCAAAGACAAGGGGAGCTGGGCATTGGGCACCAGAGAGACATGTGCGGGGAAGGAGGCACAAACGAGCCCTGAGAGCTTCCTCGTTGTGCTTGGGAACCATCCTCCCACAGAGCTGGGAAGGACAGCAGTCCTCAACTGGCTCACAGCTCTGAGCCCGCAGGACACTGCTGCCCAAAGCGCAGTCCCCAGGCTGAGAGGGGCGGCCCTGAATTCTTTGCTACTGGCAAACTTCAATTCAGGAACTGAGTTAGCCTTTAGAAACTTTTAGAGCAATCGGACAGAAGAATTTTATGTCTCTCAAATCTAATAACGGAAGTCTGACTTTGGGTTGTTGTATGTCTTTTTCATTTCATTTTTCTAATATTTCATTTTTACGACAGGCTGGAAATTGAAACCTAAAAAAAACTGGTCCCTCGCCTCGGATAGTTTGAGAATCACTGATCTAGGTCACTGCGCAGTGGCCAGGACAGGAAGTCTGGGTGGGCAACACTGCCTCCAGGTCTAATTTAGAGTCCACGCCTACTTTCAACACGTGAACTGAACTTGGACACCTGCCCAGTTCCCAGCAAAACCCGGCTCAGGGATCACTGACTGAAGGTCATGGGAGCAGGAAAACCATGTCCCTTATGTTCTCCCAAGTTCCCCAGCTTGGCCTCAAAAGGATCACCCAATTATCTTCATCACGCGCTCTGCACCTTAGCAAAGGAAGAGGCCCAAATCCTTCTCCATCCAAGAAAAAGGAAACAGACTTGGGATTTTACACCCAGATTCTTATCCTCAAGTCTCTGTGAGCACGTTGGCCTAGGACGGCCCTGGCTGCAGGATGCAGGGCCGCTCTCAAAGTGGGGCTCTGGTTTACTAATTGCTTCCTTCTCCCACTCTCCTCCTCACAGCGCAGACACCTGCATCAAAGAGATGCCAACGCTGGCTGACCTAGATGCCCGCAGGCATTAGCAGTGATGTTTGCCATCGATCATTAATTATGTACGGGTACATGTGAAGACAGCTCACTGGAAAGACTTGAGTACAGAATGCAGATTGTCAACCAGGCCACATCTACTGGTAGTTTATTGTCTGTCTTGCTTCCCAGTAGATGTCAAGTTTCATGAGAGCAGAAACCCATCTGCCTTCTTCCCTACTGCCCTCCAGCAATGCCTGAACATATTAGGCACTCCACGTTCACCGAATGAGCAAATACCCCAAGGTGAGGCCTGTCTGGGCCTTCTCTTAGTTATGGAGCTTTTCCTCTTCAAATTATTTGAAGCTCCCTATCAGCTGAGCATGTGGCCACACAACTAAAGGATGTCATTCCTCAACTTCCCTCTCTTAATGTAGGCACGTGGCCACATGACCACATTCTGACCAAGGGAAGGTACAATGCCGCTTGGTGGGACTTCTAAACTGGAGAGGCAGCACCGTCTGGGACCTGAGGAGGGAGCCACGTCCTTCAAATGCGGGAGCAGAAGCCCCAGTGGGGTCAACACAACAGTCCCAGATTGCCCACCCCCAGGTCTTCCTTGTGATCTTCTGTCTCGTTTAAGCCTGTTAGTTTGGTTGCTCCTGTCACTGGTAGCTGAACTAAAATCCTAACCGATACTGTGACCCTAGCCTCTCTTGAGCCCCCCCGACAGTCTTTTTACATCTAGCCTAAATCCTTGTGCTGTGCCTGGGCCCACTTCTTCTTGGCCTGAGCTCTGAAAACGTGGTCACCAGTAGCCATACCCTCTGTGTCACCCTCCGCTGAAACTGCACTCACCCAGATCCAATAAGCTGTTCCCATATTTCTCTTTACATTCTCCTTCCTTCCTGATGTCCAATACCCAGACCACTTCCCGTTACCCCCTCTCTCCTTAGCATCGTTCATAAACAGCAAGATTTCTTAGCATTTTATAAACAAATCCTTCGCTCCAGATTTTGAGATAATCCTGCTTTACATTTGTTACCAAAAATATAAACTCTGCTATCTTGTTACTTCTACTCTAATTCCTTAGAGGAAAACCACAGTTGTGGTTCTTCCCCCTGCTGTGGACTGTGGAGATGGGGCATGACAGGGCATTACACGCAAGTACTGAGGGAGGAGAGGAAAGGAGGCCAGTAAGACTGACCCTCCCTGGAGACGGAACACCAGACTTCAAACACTATGCCCTTAAGCTCTTGCATAATTTGTGAAAAGTTAGGAGTTTACACAATTGACTGGATTCATGGTTTGGGGGTGGGGAGAGGGTGGGAGATAAGGAGGGTAGGAGAGGGAGGGATGGAGGGAGACAGATCCAGAGCTAGCAAACAATCTCAAGGGGTCTTCATCTCAAGCCAGTGACAGCTGTTTCTACTACATTACAAAGAGCCAGGTTGGCTTCTGGGAGCTTCTGCCTCAGCAGATGCTGTGGGTACCATGTCTCAAACGGCTAGCTGAACAAGGCAATTCAAAAATCACCCCCATATGCCCATCCTCATGATTATTTGCGGGGGGGGCGGTGAATGCCTTCTAAAAATTTCACAACTCTTTTTAGTCACACAGATTACTGCAAATTTTATTATTTTTCCTAAGGGCCTATATTTTATGAGACTTGCCCTTACCAGCTATGATTGTGCCACTATATAGGAGTACTGTTATACTCATGGTTGGTGAGAGGTGACCATGTAGGAAAATCTGGCAAAATGTATCCATTTGTATATTTGAGAACACCGTGACTGATATTTGTGCTCCTTGGGGACCAAGAATGGTATTCTTCAGGGCGCCTGAGTGGCTTGGTTGGTTGAGCATCCGACTCTTGGTTTCAGCTCAGGTCATGATCTCATAGTTTGTGAGATGGAGCCCCACATCGGGCTGTGCACTGACAGCTCAGAGCCTGCTTGGGATTCTCCCTCCCTCTCTCTCTGCTCCTCCCTGGCTCATGAGCACTCTCTTTCTCAAAAAAAAATAGGCTTTAGATAGAAAGAAAGAAAGAAAGAAAGAAAGAAAGAAAGAAAGAAAGAAAGAAAGAGAGAGAGAGAGAGAGAGAGAAAGAAAGAAAGAAAGAAAGAAAGAAAGAAAGAAAGAAAGAAAGAAAGAAAGACAGACAGACATTCGTGCTTCACAGGAAAGGTCACCAACCATGGGAGTGGGACATTTGGCAGAATTCTGTCAATTTGCCCCAAACAACCAGAACATGTACCAACAGTGTACCCTTCCACTTAACTGCTGCCATCTGGAGGAAAGATGAGGTTCTGCCCCGAAATGCAGCCATTTCAGTTAAGTTTCTGGGTCTTTGGGGCCACAAAATAAACTCTAGCAATTTAGGGTAACACAGGAGTACCTCTGCCCTTGGCAATGGTTTTACCCCATCGGTGTGGCCACCCCTTTGAAGTTCTGACTGATTCCACTTGTGACCCAAGGATCCTCCTGGCCTGCCTTAGATTACATTCTGAGCAAAGTCCAAAAGAGATAAGTTCCTGCTCACACACAGTCACATGCATTGCTATCTCACGCACGGCCCAGCATTATGCATCATAGAGGGGCCGGAAGAATAAGTACAGGTCCCAGTAATCCAGTGGTTTCCAATCTTGGGAAAGTACAGCCAAGCACATCATACTAATCTGTCCCAGTTCCTATAGCCTTTTCTCCCAGTTTATACTTTCCAGCTCTTTCACATTCGTTTCTGCAGACGTCTTCTGAATTCAGTGTGCCTCAAAGACTGGCTGGACCCAAGTCATTCTCAAGTTTTCTGTTAGCATGGGATAGCGGGCATCTGTGACACAGGGCATTGTGACACCCCAGAGCAAGTACAATATATCTGGGCTCTCTCAGACAGTTTCCACTGAATGGAAATGCAGCACTCACTGGCCCTTTGGATTTTATGTTCTTCCACCAGCAAGAAAACTCCTGAATGATCAGTATCTCACAAAGATGCTATAAAAGTTATAAACAACCACATCATAGTAACACGACTTTTTCTCCATGCTCAGATTCTCTAGCTATTCACCCCTGAATTTGAACTTCATTCCTAGAAGGCAGGTCTGATTCTTTGTTTCCAGAGCTTCTTATCTTAAGGAAAGGAGGTGGCAGAGGCTTGGCCCTGACTCGAGTTTTTCTGCTCCAGCGGGGGCTCCGGATCCCTCCATCCTGAGCTCCACCCTACACAGTAGCTGGGGTGTACCCTCCAGAGAAAGAGACGCTCCCGGGTTTGGTTCAAGAACATTCTGCCCATGAGCTTTGCCAGGTTCATTCGAGCCACCACGTCCACCCACGGCCGCCACGAGAGAAAGACGCAGGCAGGTCCCATGTCTCCTGCTCTGTGGCTTGCCTGAATTGCACCCACCAGAAATTTGAAGGGTTCTTTTGGGGGGACTCAGGGTATAAGAAAAGGTGCTATGTACACAAATTAAGTAGTAATTTGAGCAGTAAAGAAAGGGAGGGAAGCTTAGTAACTACTATATCATGGTTTCCCACTCACATGGCTCCACTTCTAAAATTTCGTGTTCTCTCAGCCATTAGTTCTGGGGTCTGGGGTGAGGCGGGTAAACTGATAACTCAGGCAAATGCAGGGGGTGGAGGAGGCCCACGCTTGTCCACCCAAATTCAAGTTTAGTTACAAAATTCCTAAGTTACCATAATTGTTGCTTTTCAGGGGAATCTGAGTCTAGCTACATCTTCCTTACTGCCAGCATTTTAATAACTCTGATGTCAACAGATGTTACAGCACGGTGTTTAAGCATAGCCGGCCCTCGCCCTCCATCTACAGGCCAC